GAATTAAGCTGTACAAAATATTGGATTGCTGGAGCGTTATCCTTTCGTATGAGTCACACTGTAAATGTTAATTATTACATTGAATGGATTGTTCTTTTTTATGTGAAATTTCCAGGCTGGCTTGTAGGTTGATGAAACGGGCCTCAGATTTAAAACAAAAATTGACAAAAAATGTTTAAATAAATTTGTAGGAAAACATCTCAACCCTTCAGTGGTTCAGATGCAAAAGGTAATAAAGTGTTAGAGATCATGAATGGATGCAGCTTGTTTAACACAAGAAATAACCACAGATTTGTACCTCTTCCTCACTAATCTCTATTCAAAAACCATATTTCCGATCTATAAGATAGTGATAGATTCATCAAGAGGTGAATAAATGATTGTAAAAGAGGCTAAATAGAAAAGCATGCTGAGGTTAAAAATAATAAAGAACATACTTATTATATATAAACCTTTTACTCTATAAGGTTATTTGAAAGCTTGTGAAAGAGCCCCTGTGGCAGAAGAACATCAATGCTTTGTTCTGACATTTCTACATATGACATCACATTTAAACTCACAGTAAGTGTGTATGATTGTATTACGTCTATCACAGAGCTCCACAGTACTGGCTCATAGTAATGCACAGTGTGTATGACTATCACAAAGCTCCACATCAGTAAAACCCACAATGCATCACAGAGCTCTACATCAAAAACATTTTCAGCAATGCAAAGTGTACATGAGTTTGTCACAGAGCTCCACATCACTATGACTCACAGTAATGCACAACGTTTATTTGTGCACCATAGATTTTTTTTTTTCTATCTACTAATTCTCAACAGAATAATCTGGCATTTTCCACCGTTTACTGAGCACATGATCAGTTATAATTGTCATATGTCATATTCAAGTCCAAACAATCTCATTATGGTGTGTACACGGTTCACTTAAAAAAATAAATATGTACTTTTCAACCAGGTGTACAGGGACATTAAACATTTAGTAGAAGAATACATATCCGTTTGAGACATAACTAAAATAAATGGCACTTCATTTTACTTTTTTCCTGTTGTGGAATTAAATAAAAATATTTTTTGGGAATGCACGTTATTGATAGATTTAATAAAACTTTTAACTTGATTAACTATCAAGCACTCCACCCAATCCCTGTCGGTCCAAGCCAGCATTTGAAATATTTTTTATTCATTGATTGCTAACATAAAATCTGTACTCTATGTTGTAATATTTATTTTTTCTTAATGCATGCATTAATGGGAAACAGACTGAAATTATCAGATGTCCCCCTCCACCCCCTTAACACATCTGTCCTCCGATTAAGACATTTAATTTTTTTAAATGCCAAATGGTTGAGTAATAGTGTTTTTCAATATATATCATTGAGAGGGATACCTGATCATGTTTTTAAAAGCCCTGTTCTGCAGAATATCAAATCTCAGTAGGACATACAACAGCCTGAGCTTGCAGTCAGGATTTGAAATGCTCTTATTATTAATATGAACTAGAAGTTTATGGGTCTGAGTCACAGATCCCAGTAGAGGAAGAGTCAGAAACATATTTTGAGAAAGCCTGTGGGTCTCCAACTTTCTATTAAGAAAACCTGTGTTTGAAAATAAAAAAACATCATGCTATTGAGGTAACAATGCATCCAGTTATTCTCTTGCTAGTGACGTTATGATCTCATACACAGCTGGTGTAATACATAACTAGGAATTCAAGTGTCACAGTTTCGTAGTTGCTGCTAATATAAAATATGAGCATAATTAACAAATGTTTGGTTAGCAGTTAATGTTGGTGTTAGTGGTTAGTAATTCATTAGAATAAGGAGTTAGTACAGAGAATAGATATTTAGTAGAGAAAGTAGACTTAAAGGGACACTATAGTCTCCTGAACAACTTCAGCTTAATGAGGTTGTTCAGGTGAGAACTATAGCTCCCTGCAGCCTTTCTCATGTAAACACTGTATTTTCTGAGAAAATACAGTGTTTACATTGAAAGCTAGAAACACCTCCAGTTGCAGTCACTCAAAGTGAACCATAATATGCCTCCATTCACTCAGATCTGCTGTGCACGAGCATCCTGTGATTCAGTATCTCCTCCCTCTGCGTGCAGACACTGAACTTTCCTCATAGAGATTCATTGATTCAATTAATCTCTACGAGGAGACGCTGATTGGCCAGGGCTGTGTTTGAAACAAGCTGGCTCTGCCCCTGATCTGCCTCCTTGTCAGTCTCAGCCAATCCTATGGGGAAGCATTGTGATTGGATCAGGCTATCACATGTCAGCACACTGCTTGTCTGCTTGTTTTTCCTGAACCTAACAGCATGCAGATTTACAGCTTCTGGTTTGAATACAGTAAGATTTTTACTATATTTATGAAGGCATGAGGGGCCCAGGGGGGCTAGATGGTCGTATTAACGCTATAGGGTCAGGAATACATTTTGTTGCACTGGTGACTATAGTGTTCCTTTAAAGTTTATGGATTTGGTTAGCACATCGATTTTTAACTCCTGGTTTGCTACTTCATATTTTTGGGCCCCAGGCCTAGCCCTGATCCTAAATCTAAGTGTAAATAAACCCTAACCCTAACATCTGTCACAATATTCATGTAGTTATCTAGCCAGCACGAGATGCACAGCAACTATAGTATATGTGCTGTAGTTGCTGTGATGGAGAGTCGGGGATTCACCTTAATGAATGTTCTTCTGCTTTTTTCTGTTACTCAGTTGTTGACAGTGATAATAAACTGCAACATTGGCATAGATCTCGGTGCCAATAAATGATTGACAGGCAACGTGGGACCATTTTTTTTCTTAAAATCTACACATTTGGTAGGATTTCTGGCAACATAATTTATAGATCAATTTTTATTTTTGTTCGTTTTACATAAAGTGTCCTCTACCATGACACGTGCACTTTAACTCTGCCTGTGTAAGATATGAAAATTGCTTTCCAATTACCAGTGATATCTATAACTTGCATTTATTGCTGTCATAAAATGGCAAAAATCAACACAGAAAATTCAAAACATGCTACACTCCCCATGAAATTATTAAGATACATAGAAAAAGTCACTGGCACATTGTGTTCAATGACATTTGACCAACTGACCTCCTTAGCAGAGTCTCCATTGCAATCAATTGGGACATTTGGCACATTTGCGTTGGGTGTCTTTTTTTTTTCTTAATACCGGTTGAATTGTAGTGTATCTCAAACCAGCACACCAACACAATTCAATTAATGAAATGGCAGTAAATGTGTATAAAGTTACACATATGTCTGTTGAATTGACATACTTTAGTGTTCTGACACTTGGGAGTTCATTCTCTAAACAGTGAATTAATATAACTTGTAACATTGACTTGCAACATTTAGGCTGAATGGCTGATTTGAAAAGTCACTAACACTCCTGAGAAACAATCTCTTGCACTGAGGGACCTTTAGACTCAGAGAGCTCGTGTTGTGTACTTACAGGAAACACATTATAGGGAGGGTCCTGCCTTAAAAATGACCAATCATATTTACTCCCAAGGCTATTGTGGTAATAATCCAAATATTAAGTCTATTCTTATCCATAAATCGATCCCTTCCTACCATAGTGACACTCTTGCAGGCCAGTAAGGGCGCTATGTGTTAATTAAGGGTGAGATCCTGGGTCAGTGATACCCTTTTGCCAATATTTATGCCCCTAACGCTCAACGAGGCAGGTTTTTGAGGTCTACACTGAAGACTCTCATTTCTCATTGTGGAGGGTTTCTTGATATTGGGGGAACTTTAACATTTCCCTACATCCGCGCATTGATACCTCGGTAGGCACATCGGCGGTCCCTGAACACATACTTCAGATTATCATGAAATTTTCCACACTCACCATTTATCTGATTTCTGGCGGACCTTGCACCCGGATGGGAGGGAGTACTCACACTACTCTATGCCTCATGCCAGATACTCTCGATTAGATTAGATTTTTGTCCCTTATTATTACTTAAATACTGTTAGTCAGGCTGATTTAAGCTCAATGACTTGGTCTGACATGCACCTCTGATGATGAGTTTGAAATCCTCGCTGTTTAGGCTCAAGACTGCTAACTGGAGACTCAACGAGGCACTTCTTAATGACCCACTAGTTTTACAAGACTGAAACGCTGCAATGACAAATTACTTTACTGATAATGTGACGTCTGAGTTCCCTGCCTTGCCAATTTGGGAAGCACACAAGTGTCCTATTAGGAGATTCTTCATTGCCTGGGGCGCTAGGTTAAAGAGGAATAGGAAGGTGGTGGTCAGCAAGCTCACTGACGACATTCATAGATTGGAGACGTTGCATGAATTGAGCCATACCTTGACCACCTTCCAAGAACTCACTGACTTATAAAGCAGACTGTCTACTCTCCTTCACAATCGTGACCAAAGGTCCCTCCAATACACTAAGGCCTACTTTTATCTACATAGTAATAAATGTGGCAAATTGCTTGCAAGTATCGTCAACAAAAAGAAGACCAAATCTTATATTTCTCACCTACATGACTGCCAGGGTCCGATGCAATGAATGCCAGATTCCATCGCTAAGGTGTATGTATTAAGAACACTTGTACTCAACAAGGGCAATTTTGGGGGCTCTCTCAACGAGTCCAGAGTGGAGAGTCTCTCCAAACCTATTTAGAGGCTAATGTGAACACAAAACTGTTGGATGAGGTGATAGAAGCCCTCAAGGCGCCCCTAACTATGGATGAATTCGCGGCAGCGGTGAAGCTAACAAAACCTGGTAAAAACCTGGGTACGGATGGAAAGACGTTACACTACCATAAGCAATTGGCAGACATCTAGCACCCACAATTACTGAGGGTATATAATTACCTCACAGTTGGTCAGAAGCTCACTACGTAAACCATGGCAGCAAATATCACTCTGATACTAAAAGAGGGCAAGGACTTGGAGCAGTGTGCTGGTTATTGGCCTATTTCTCTTTAACACTGTGACTTAAAACTTAAAAAACAGAAAACCAAAAAGGGAATAAAATATGTGTGAATAACACCAAAGTAAAAATATAAATAATATACAACCTAAATTAAATATGATCGGTAATAAAATAACGATAGGACCCAGGAAGGATAGGGACTGGACATACACCTGCTGACAGATTCACCATCATTTTCAGAATCTGTATCTTTAGACTAAATCGTTTAAGATGATTACATCCGTCCTGTAGATATTCTGGTTTCTGACCTCTAATCACTAGTTCACATCCTGTACATCTATTTATACTCAGTAACGATGCGTTTATACCCTGGAGGTAGGAAAACCAAGGGCAGGTCAGAGGTAAAACATAGGATAATGCAAGATTTATTTTTATTACAGATAGTCACAAAACAGAATTAGCTGAAAATGCAATTTACGAACATTCAATGATATAGAGGAAATTGGTCAGTTTTAAAGATTTTGGAATATAGTATTTTATAATAAATGTTTTATTAGTGTATGTTAAAGTGATCCCAATGTTTTCTTATTCTTATACAAATTTATAAACATGCAAATTGTTGGAAAAATGTATTTTGTTGTGTACTTACTTTATTTAATTGAGGGCTTATCATTTTATCTCTGTTTGCTGTATAAACTAACAAAATAGATTATTATTTGATTGTTTCAAATTTATATTGTTATGTTTTATAAAAATTTACCAATAAATTTTTTTTGAAAAAACAACAACAACAAAACAAACTAATAAAATTGTTATCTTACTGAACTCTTTGGTCCAATGCTATAAATATTGGTTTGGATTCTCGGAGGATTCATTTTACACTTGGGCCCTGAGTCTCAAGAGGTTGCGTAAACCAGATATGACATATTTGCACCTCACAGACGTCCTGAACATGTCTAACACAAGGGTCTGTTTAAAGAAACGCTATAGCATTAGAAATAGAAGCACGTATTTTTAAATCGACACTATAGGCACCCAGACAACTTCAGCTCATTGAAGTGGTCTGGGTGCACTGTGCCATGTCCCTTTTTTAAGAAACTGCAATAATTAGCTTGCAGGGTTAATGTCACCTCTATTGGTTGTCTACCAGACAGCCATCAGGGGGACTTCTAGGGCCGTTAGGCAACTTTTGGTCGCTTAATTGATGCTGGACATACTCATGCTATGCATGGGACATCCAGCATCACCTAAATCTCCATAGAAAAGCATTGTATAATGCTTTCCTATGGGGAAATCCGCGCATGCACATAAGGTTTCCCTGGCGGGGCAGGTGTGAAGGCGGACCCGTGCTTGCACTGATGGACATTGGCGCTGGACTGAGGTAAGTGACCGAAGGGGTTTTTAACCTCTACTGCACCACAGGGTGGAGGTCCCTCGAGAGAGGGGGGAGCTATAGTGCCAAGAAAACAACTTTGCAATATAGTTTCCTTTTAACACTATAGTGACCTGCTAGCTCCACTAAATAACCAGGAAGTAACAGAACCAGTATTCTGATTGACAGCCAGGGGGGTGTAAGAAGGTTCATTTATAATAGTGCAGATTTCTATCCATATCTGCACTTTTTGAAAAAAAAAAAAAAGAGGACACACTCTTCACACAAAAAGCACTTCAGCAAGCTACAGTGTGGAGTGCTCATTTAAATAAAATGTAAAAGAAAATAGTTTGAAAAAAATACAGATTATAGGTCAAAATGAAAATTTCCCTAAATCTATTATTTTTCCAGCTCAGTTAATTTATCCTATAATTTGAAAATCCCCTTCTCAATTCCCCAAACCTTTTTGGCTTAGTGAATAAAGTCCCACTGTATATTTTTTCCCACACAGTTTGAGAATGAACTTTGTCCACCTTTGTACAGAGGCAAGTTATAATACCTGCTTAAATCACATTTAAAGGGTTAGTCTCAGTTTTACAAAGTGTGAGTTAAAACAAACAGAATTGTTCCATAGTTGACTTTATTATGTGGTTTACTTGCTTATCCCAGGCTTTTTCAAATCAGCTGACCCTGAGAAGCTTTAAAATATTAACCCTTTAATAGCTAGCCATAGTACTTCTACACAGTACCTCGTCAACGGAGAATTACTTGGGTCTAAAATCTATTTATTCCCTTGTAACGTCTAACCTATTAACACCCTACAGCATCCTTGTTTCAAGTCACCTGTATTCAAACAGTGTGCAATTCTTGTGAGAAATTAAATTATCTGAAATTAGGGCAGAATAAGAACTCATAATAAGATCCATAATTTGTGACTCATATAAAGTGAATTTTTAGGTGAATTCTACACTTTAAGCCAAAATGGTTAGATATGTGTCAGTTCACAGTTTAGTAAACACTGCTGATAATATCTACCCAGATATACATACTTTATAAGAAGCTGTATGATCACTTTTTGCCATGTTGTAGCTGTGATTTTTATTAATTTTTTTATTTTGCAGGTACATAGCGAAATATTAAAAAGATGGTTTGTGTTAGCTTACATACTCTGTAGCGCAGCTTTGTTTAAACATCTCTTGAATGCAGAATTCAATAAGGATGAATATTCCCCCTTTATTATGCAGACTATACAAACAGCTGCACACCACCCCCGTATTCTCTTATTCCTCCTCCCCCCCCATTAATATATCTACAAAATTGACAGTCACGAGACAGAACAGCTTTAAAACCCTAGGGTCACTAAACCAAAATTCCTTTCCCATTGCCAAAAATTCACATCATCATGTAAGAAAAACAGGATTTGCAAGCATCCATCTCCGAGCCCTTGCAAAGTTGTTCGTACAATTCTCCTCTGTTCTGAGCGCTAAATATGGTTTTGAATCTCATTTATAAGTTGTCTGCTTTCTGTACAAGTCAGCCCTGTTTAAATGAACCTGCGTGGATTGCAATCATATTACAGTGCAAGATAAATCTGACCACTGTGTAACTCAGGGAGTGTGTTTTACAATGAAGAGGGTTATTAGATATATCCGATGGATAATCAGTTTGCTAATTTGATTACGTCTTGGTTAGCTACAGACTTAGGATGAGGGGGAAGCAGGCAGCTGCTCGCGATGACATTAATAAAATGTCTATTTCAATGTGATTTAATTAAATATTCACTGAGAGCCATTGAATGTAACATCGTATATTTCTAAATTGTAGCACATGTAACATTGTACAAAGGAAATGTAAGTATTGGGGTAATGAGAGGGCTGTAATTCAGGCCCCTCAATCCTTGGGGCCTGTAGGCTCTGCACCCTCCCCCCTCCATTGTTGGCTAGTCTGAGTGGTGGGGAGACACTAATACCTCTATAAGCTTGTTCTTTGCCTCTCTGGTTCTGTAAGTGAATAAGTTCAATAATTTTTCAAAGCAACCGCATTCTGGATCGCTCAAAGAAAGTAAAATTAATTTATTACGTGCCTAACCTCCGAAAGGCCAACAGAAAACCAAAAGATTGAAGTAAATGACATGAGACACAGGACCAAATTCAGAGAGGTTCCACCATATACCTAGTTTTTACAAAGCTTTCAATGTACTTTTGCAGTGAGAATTCAAAGTGAATTTCAAATTCACAGCCAAAGTAGCTGAACCAGAAGCATAACTAAGATACAGAATTTTTCATTTTGGCTATAGTAACCTTAATTTTTAAATTCACATTGAATTTAGTAACTTTAGTAACTAGCCCTGTAAGGGGGTAAGTAGTTTAAAGGATCCCTACTCCCTAACACAATTCAAAAAACGTTGCGTATTTAGAGTATTTATAAGGGAATGCACCAATACAGAGTGGAATTCAGTGTATAACCAGAACTGCTGCCTTCCAGAATGCGTGTTCAGTGGCGTACCCCCTTGAATATGCAGTGGATATATTGCGATCACTCTCACAATTATGAGAAGTACAGTCCATAGCATCTCGAATGCCATTAATTTATACTGCAAATAATTCCATGACCTTTTACCAATCATCTAGCCAGGGGCGTTTTAGCCGCGAGGCAAACAAGGCATTTGCCTTGGGTGGCATTTTCCAGGGGGCGGCAAAAAACGCCGCCCCCAAATGCCCAGGGCAAATGCCTTGTTAGCCTTGCGGCTAACTGACATGCTGGGCAGGCGGGCGGCTGGCAAGGGAGCTCTTCCTGTGAGCTCTCTGCTCAGCTCCCTCGCCAGCCGCAGAGTGAGGCTGGGAGCCGGAATATGACGTCATCTTCCGTCTCCCAGCCTCACTCTGTGGCGCGCGAGGGAGCTGAGCAAACCGCTCAGAGGAAGAGCTCCCTCGCCAGCCGCCTGCCAGCGCAGCCTAGCAACCACTGGACCCCCATGGAGAAAGGCAAGGGGGTAAATAAAAAAAAGTTAAAAAAAAAAGTGTTAATGTGAGTGATTGTGTGTGTATGTGTGTGTTTGTGTGTGTGTGTGTCTGACTGTGTGTTTGTGTCTGTGTGTGTGTGTGTGTTTGTGTCTGACTGTGTGTGTGTTTGTGTGTGTGTGTGTGTGTCTGACTGTGTGTTTGTGTCTGACTGTGTGTGTGTGTGTCTGACTGTGTGTGTCTGTGTCTGACTGTGTGTGTGTCTGACTGTGTGTGTGTGTGTATTTAGAAGGTGGGGCAGGGGGGAAGGGTTGGGTAGGGGTGGCGCGGGGGGAGGGGGACGTCTGAGTTTTGTCCTGCCTAGGGCAGCACAAAACCAGGATACACCACTGCATCTAGCGCAAACATGTCAAACTCAAAGGCTAGCACGGGCCAAATAAACAAGGTTTAAGTTTATGTGGGCCTCAAAAAAAAAACCCTTACATTTACATAGAAACTTATTTTTTTTTTAAAAGTACAGTATAAAAAATAACCATCATCCCCTTCTATTAAAGCGCTACGGAATTTGTTGGCGCTATATAAATAATAAAATAATAATAATAATAATTAAAGCCCAGTCACCCCCTCTATACTAAATCTCAGCACCCACCTCTACTAAACCCCGGCCCTTAAAAAAAAAGAAAACAATATTAGCCAACAAGCGAACTCCGCTCACATTGCCGCTGCCAGTATGCGACTCTGGTATTCCCCCAATGGCGCCGTCTGCACCCTGTGCCAAAGTGGATCCTCCCACTACTCCTTGAAAGCCTGTGAAGGTGGAGCATGTTGACGTCACGTCAAAATGTGACGTGGCATTGCGTGCCCTCGTGCACCTCAGGTCCTCCACTGTCCAGCCACGGCCATCGCAACACTGACCCAACACACACTCACTGACACACACACACATTGACACACACACACTGACAGACACACACACTCACTCTCTGACAGACACACACACACACTCACTCACTGATTGACAGACACACACACTGACAGACACACACACTCTCTGACACGCACATAGTCTCTGACATGCACACAGTCTCTGACACGCACATAAACACTGACAGGCACACAGACACTGACAGACACACTCACTGACAGACAACACACACACACACACACATTTATACATTCTTGAACACATTCACATCAATTTATTTATTGCTCCCTACCTTTGGGAGCTGGTGTGGGGATCTCCTCTCGGGAGGTCTCCTACCTGCTCCTCACTGCTCCCTCACGCACGCAGTTTAGTGATGCCAGGTGCCGGAATATGACATCACATTCCAGCACCCGGCATCAATACAGACGGCGCTCGGGAGGGAGCATTGAGGAGCAGGAAGACTGAGCTCCCTCGCTACCGCCAGAGACCTCTCCCCCCGGCCAGGTAAGTTTTATCAGAGTAGGCACCTGCAATGTGGGAAGAGCAGGTACCTACTCTGCCTTAACATGTCAAACTCGCGGCTAGCTGGGCCGCAAAAATATTCATTGCAGGCCGCGAGTTTGACATGCTTTATTTAGCTAGATTCAAAAAAGTAAAATGTATTTTGAAAAAGGGTTTCCGTAAAAGTAAAGCAATTTTTGTAAAACTAGCTGAAAAGCTTTCAATGTTTCCATTGGTGGTTTTTCATAGAGTTTGACTTGCCTTAAGAACTGCGCCCCAGTCACGTTTTATAACATTTTTTATAGGAAATGCTAACTGTTATAAAATGTTCTCTATTTTGTTCTTTAGAAAAACAAACATAAATACACAAATATTAAATACACATCCAGATTATTTGTTTGGTTTTTCAATCCTAGAATTACACAATCTGCTAGAATCATTCTAAGTTTCGGAAAAAACAAACAAAAAAAAGATATAACTAAGGATATCATTCCAGTATTGTATAATTCTTTTGGAACATTGGGAAATGAATGAAATATAATACGGTATTGATGTGATGGCAAACCGCATCTTCTTGAATCTATTTCAAACTACAAAGAAAGCTAATGTGGCAAAAAAACAAAAAAAAAAGTCTCCCCAACACCCAAAAAAAAAAACAGAGACAAAAAAACACAAAGACAAAAAAACAAAACAAAACAGAATTTTTACACAGCTAGTCTTCAGATTTGAAAACAATGCCAGAGCTTACATGGGGTGTTATCGAGGCTGTCAATGCGGGAAGGGATGATCCAAGAGATAATGGAGAAAGTGACAGTTACATATGGACAAGATGAAACAAACAGTTCACGCAATCTTTCTCAAGAACATTCAAAGGGCAAGTAATGTTGGTAAAACCATGCTTTGTCTTTAAGTCCCTCCTACTTTTAACCTTTTTGTGTTTTGTGCAAAGCAAGTCCATATAAGAGAACTAGGGGATTGCAGAGTGGTACCTTTTGGATCTCTGTCATACTAAATAGAAGGGATTTTAATGAATGGGGTTAAAATGTCTCTGTTACCTCTGGTCACTTTATTATTAGTATTTCATAGACATAAAATCTTTTTGAAATAATCGTCTTGTCTCAGTGGGAATTTCATTGAAATTCAAACATAATCACAATATATCACAAGACTCGCAAGGACTGCTTTAAAGGCAAAGATCAGTTTTACAAAATTGTGGGGGGAAAAAAGTAGAGTTTCAGCCATCCGCTTGTGTCGCTTTCCATGGATGGCATTAGTAAAAGTTGGTCAGTGGAAAATCACTGAAAATCCTCCATAGGCCTCCATTTTGTAACAGCAGTGATGTGGGCTGCAGGAAGATTACATTTCAGGAGCTTAAAGGACCACTATAGGCACCCAGACCACTTCAGCTTAATGAAGTGGTCTGGGTGCCAGGTCCAGCTAGGGTTAACCCTTTTTTTAAATAAACATAGCAGTTTCAGAGAAAATCACAGTGAGAAGACGCCAGCGTCCATAGGAAAGCATTGTGAATACTTTCCTATGAGACGGGCTGAATGCGCGCGCAGCTCTTGCCGCGCATGCGCATTCAGCCGAAGAGGAGGAGAGGAGGAGGAGAGCTCCCCGCCCGGCGCTGGAGAAAGAGGTAAGGCGGGAGTGGGACCCTGAGTGTGGGGGCACCCTCAGGGCACTATAGTGGTCCTTTAAGTAAGACAATGATGGTGATTGTGAGTGGAAGCTTCAAATTATTGTATCTACCATATTATTGTATCTACCACAGAAAGCAGAGATGTCACCTTTGGGGGTCTTTGCTTATTTTGGATTCAGAGTTACTTTAAAATGAAGGAATATCACACTCACTCAGCCACTCAAAGAGCACGTTTTGCTTTGACAATATCTACACTAGGTAGTTGCCTAAAGCTCTTAATTTCAATTTCAGGGAGGACAATGCTGTCTTTTTGTCCCATTGCTACTGTGACCTTTTGTGAAGTTAATGCCATGTACATCACTGATCTCATAAGAACAGCCGGCAGCCACGGTGTCATTTATAATATCAGCGCTAATTGGGAAAGTTATGGTTAGGGGGTTAAAGTTAGGTTAGCAAATTGTGTGCCACGCAATAATAATAACTGAGTAGGCCTGCGGTGTAAGAATGTATCTCAGAGCTCTACAGCAATAAAACTTACATATAAATATGCTCCGATTGCATTGTGTATAAGATTATGTAAATAAAATGATTTGTGCTGGTTTAAGAGAATGTATCACATTTACATATTCAGACATTTCTTCCATAAACAAAGTGTCAGTCTTGTGCTCTGATATAAAATAAGATTATCTTCTTTAAACATTCTCTTTCAAAAAACTTTCTATCACTGGAGTTCTGATCTAATACAAAAAAATGCATTGAATAGTAATAGTGGCTGTTTACCGACCAAATTACTATTAGCGAGAATGTCAATTTAATTAAAGTAAAAGCCTATTCACAAATGATAAGAACTATTTTAGTATGTTGGCAACACATGTACATGCACGTACACAGTAACATGTTTCGTTAAACACAAAAGTGATATTTACTGGGAGCATTTATTTACTTTTTAATCACGGGACGTCTGAGCACATTCGCAGTTTCGTGTTTGTTTTCCGGTGGTTAAGGCGCAAATAAATAAAGTTAAATAAAATGTTAATTTTTAAGACTTTTTTTTTACAATTACATTTTATTCGATTATAGTCATTAGTATGTACTACCCAAGGTATGACGTGCACATTTAAAGGGGAAACGTCACTTCCCAGGATTGTTAATATTATGTTCACTTATGACCTATATTTAGTAAACCTTAATCTGTGAGGTGTGAAAAATAGTATTAAATGAAGAATGTAAACCTTTTATATTCTGCAATTGGATGCCTCTATTTTAGCTCCCTGTCAATCATTGTTATAAGCTCTGTCCTTTGCTCCTAGAAGTCAGCGTAGCAAAAGCATACAGAGAAAGAGAAAGGAGACAATGTTTCTATTTCTCATTCTAATTTGCATTGTATGCCTTGGATGTGCCTAGACTGAACTGGATTGTGACATCATTTAAAAAAATAAAAATGAGGATCATACGGAAAGAGGGTTAAAACAATTAATAGGCAATTTTCACCCATGAAAAAAGGGAGTTAACACAATTAATGAGTACTTTTGTTTTAATCAAGCACATGAAAATTAAAACCTAAATTAAAAATTCCCTCTACTAATATAGTGTTGAATATTGAATGAAGATGTGAAACCCATATTTGTGCAGTTGGCTTTGACTATTTCGATGCTGAATCAACATTGTGATGCCTGTTTTCTAACCAGATGAGGAATAAACATTTTTTTAAGTATGCTATCATGCTACAGTCAAATTGTTCCCGTGGCAATGTAAAATTCTTTAAGCATGACTTTATTGTGTTTAGACATTTGTTATAGATGTAATCATAGAAAACCTTCCTCTTTATTTGTCAAAATGCCAAGACATTCTAATGTACCATCTCGTTTCATGGATTTAGTTTAGTGTATTGG